GATGCAGGGCCAGACTGAGCAGTCGGGCACTTCGGTCATGGAACAAAGGCCCGGAGCAGGCAGGGGCCCAGCAGCAGCTGAGAAGTATTGAGTCAGTTATGGAGATCAGTAAATCTCCATAATAGCCCACAATACTAGCTGAGTGCCAGTTACAGGCATCCCAGACTGCACACACTGCCTCTCGCACTGCTTACCCTGCCGGCTGGTACAAACGGGAGTGCTCCGTACTGCAGGAACTTCCTGTTTGTGTGATGGCTCTGGCAGGATCTGACATCAGAGCCTCGCCCACTCCACACACAGCTCCACCAGGGTCCTTCTACTAGGAACTAGCCGCTACCCTCCAGGGATTGTCAGCAATGTGTGCAGGGAGGATGGAGGACAGGCAGCAGCACTCAGCCACCATGTGCAAGGTAAAGGCAAGCACAGAGGGACATGGGGAGGGAGACATAAATGGTGAGGGAGACAAGAGCAGAATGGATTAGGAAGACATAAGTAGAGGCTTGGAACAAGAGACAGAGAGACACACACCAGTGAGAGTTACTAAGAGAGAGAGCAGAAAGTGAGATTTACTTAAAAAAAAAGAAATACAGTAAGTTACTAGAGAGAGAGAAGTCAGTTACTAAAGAGAGAGAAATGCTGCACCGTTCCTGTGGAACTCACTTCCCTCCTCCGTTAGATGCTCACTCAGCCTCAAATGTGCCCCTTCAATGTCCACACATACCTGGCAAAGGTACATACGGTGGTATTGCTGTACTCAGATGACATAGCTGAGAAACATATGAAGTATTATACAGTCGTAGCACGCATAAGGTTTGCAAAATATACTGTGCAAACTCACTTTGTGTGTCACAAAGGCTGAAAAAATGCTTATTACCACTACACTTGGTACAAGCTGGCGGAAAAATGATTCCACGCTAAGGTTCAAAATATGCCTTTTGAAATACCCTGGGATGTCTTATTTAAGAAATGGTATGCCTTTATGGTGTAGCTGGAATATGTAGCCTGCTCAAGTGCTCCAAAGTGGGACACGAACGCATCAAAACCCTCCATGAAAATTCACACTTAAAAACCTGAACCTGTCACGTCTCTGTTACAGCACTGTAACTTCACAAAATAGTGTCTAGGTCATACATTGGGCATATTGTTTTACTCAGAAGATGTAACTTAGAATAATTTGGTTTTTTTTATGACAGTGGTACATATCAAGTGTAGAAATACTCAGCAAAAAATGCAACATATATGTAAAAATGCCATTTTTTTCTCCCTCACCACAAACACTGACATAAATTGGTGAAAAAATGGTGACAAGTTAAGGCACAATATACACCATATAAGATACCCTGGGGTGTCTGCTTTATCAAATGAAAGCCCTTTGTGGGGTTATTTTAACAGTCACACTGCTAAAATACCTTAAAATATCTACGAAAATTCTAACTAAAGAAACCGAAATAGCCTTGTCTTTTATATGACATTGTAGCTTTACAGAATAGTGCCAAAGGCATACAATGGGGGTATCGTTATACTCAGCAGATGTAGCTGAACATAATATGGGGTTCTGTGCAGGAATAGCATACACCAGCTTTTTACGAAATACACATTACAAAAACTTTGTTATATGTGTATATGCCAAAATAAAGAAAAAACACAACTTTACTTCAATATTTAGCAGAGATTGGCGATGAAAATGGCTACGTAAAAAGTGTCAAACTAACCTTAGGTAAATAGCCTGCGATGTCTACTTTATATAAATTTATACTTTTGTGTGGCAATTTTTTTTTCTGTGATGGCTACTAATCATACAAGATAGGCATGTGCATGGGGAAAATTTTCGGTTCGGTTTGGCTCAGCATTCCGAAATTCAGGACTTCGGCAATTCAGGACATCGGCGGTTTGGCACTTCGACACTTCTGAACTTCAGCATTTCGGGACTTCTCTTGCAGCTGCTTAGTAGATAACTCCCTAATTACCACGTGGGTGGGTGGGGGCCCTAAATTAGAATAAGGGGGGGACCTAATGTCCTCCCCCCTGGCCCCAACCCCTGAGTGGTGGGTGGGGGCCCTAAATTAGAATTGTCACCCCCCTCCCAAAAAAAAACCCTACCTACCCCCCTCACCGTAAAAATACCATTAACAAAGTACCTGTAAAAAACAAAAAACAAAACCTACCATTTGATGTTTTCTTTCTTCTAAAATCTTCTTTTTTCATCCCCAAAAAAGGCCAAATATAAAATCCATAATAACCGACGCACTTAAAAAATTAAGATTATTATGAGCGCAAAAAGATAATAATCCTTCTTCACCCATGGAGGGCTCCACGCAGCCTGAGCTCTGCAGGGCAGGGGAAAGCTTATAAAGTGTGCTCTGGCAAGTAAATGAAGAGACTGACAGGTAAGTCTCTACATTTACCTGCACAGCACTCTGATTGGTTGGCTTGAAATCCACCAATCAGAGTGCTCTGTGTCATTTTACACAGCTTGGGAAAGTTCTTTGGAATTTTCCCACGCTGTGTAATTTGACTTATAACAACACTCTGATTGGTGGATTGAGAGTAACCAATCAGTTATGAGTCAAATTACACAGCGTGGGAAAATTCCAAAGAACTTTCCCACACTGAGCACTCTGATTGGTGGATTTCAAGCTAACCAATCAGAGTGCTGTGACAGGTAAATGTATAGACTTACCTGTCAATTGTAGGGCGGGGCAAGGCTTTATAAGCTCAGTCTGCGCGCAGCCCTCCATGGGTGAAGGATTTTTTATTTTATTTTTTGCGTCGGTTATTATGGATTTATTTATTTGGCCTTTTTTGGGGCTGAAAAAAGATTTTAGAAGAAAGAAAACATCAAATGGTAAGTTTTATTTATTTTTTACAGGTACTTAGTTAATGCCCCCCCCTCATTAGTTTTAGGGTGAGGGGGGTAGGTAGGGGTTTTTTTGGGGGGGAGGTGGGTGGGGGGGGTTCATTTTTTATATAGGGCCCCCACCCGCCGCTCAGGGGTGGGGGCCAGGGGGGAGGACATTAGGTCCCCCTCCATTAGTATTTAGGGCCCCCACCTGCCGCTCAGGGGTGGGGGCCAGGGGGGAGGACATTAGGTCCCCCTCCATTAGTATTTAGGACCGCTCAGGGGTGGGGGCCAGGGGTGATTAGGGAGTTATCTACTTATTTATTCCTGTCATTACATTGACTGGCTAAGTAACTTACATTTTATATGAATGTATGTTACTTGATTGTTGTAAGTGTTGCAAATGCTTACAGCTGAATCCTGGCTATGTTTGTATACTTTTTATTTAAAACTGTATACAGTGTAACATTCTTCATTCTTCCACTGGGTAAGTATTTTAGTTTTTAGGCAATACTGTGCTTCGGCCCTTCGGTAATTTCGGAACTTCGACAATTCAGCAATTCATCTATTCACATTCAGACCGAAACGAACTGCACATGTCTACTACAAGACAAACCTACCAACTTCTAAAAATTTTGCTCATTAAAATTTTATTTTAGTCCTTGTATTTTGTGACCTGTAACTTTCAAATAAAGGTGAAATCTTATACATATGATGTACTCTATAAATCAAGACACATGAATTTATTTTGAATTACTTTTTCTAAGCTCGACATATTATGCACACACTATTATTGCCAAAACTGTGCAAAACTTTTTTTTTTTTAATTTTAAAAAAATGTTTTTTATAATTAATAAGAATGTATCTATGTATATGTGACATCAAATGAAAGCCCTGTTTTCCCTTAAAAAACGGTATATAATATGTGTTGGTGCAATAAATGACAGAGATGCAAATTGCGTTTTAACACAAACCACCAATAAATGCAAAAATGGCTTGTGTCCGTAAGGGTAAGAAAAGCTTCTGAAGCAGTGTCCTTATCCCCTTAAGGACCAAACATCTGGAATAAAAGGGAATCATGACATGTCACACATGTCATGTGTCCTTAAGAGGTTAAGGGGTTAAAAGCCTGCTAGCATTGTACCATAAACTACAGCTGGGAACTCCACAAGCTACAAAAGTAACAACTTAGTACTAGTAATTAAGACCAATGTGTTACAAAAGTAACAGACTGCTTATTTCTATGGATGAGTAATACACAGAATTCCCTCCCTCTCTCCAATTTCCTTCTTCTCCCCCTCTCTCCAATTTCCTTCTTATCCCCCCTCTCCTTCTTCTCCCCCCTTCTCCAATTTCCTTCTTCTACCCCACCCTCCAATTTCCATCTTCTCCCTCTCCAACTTCCTTCTACTCCCCCCTTCAATTTTCTTCTTCTCCCCCTCCCTCTCATTTCCTTCTTCTCCCCTCCCTCTCATTTCCTTCCTTCTCCCCCCCTCCAATTTCCTTCCCCTCTCCCCATCAGTTCCTTCCACTCCTCCCTCCCCCCCTCAAATTTTGCTTTCCACTCCCCCTCAAGATTTCCTTCCTCCTCCCCTCAAATTTCCCTTCCCTCCTCCCCCCTCAAATTTCCTTCCTCTCCCCCCCTCCCATAATTTCCTTCCTCTCCCCCTCAGATTTCCTTCCTCTCCCCCCCCTCCCTCAGAGTTCCTTCCTCCTCCCCCTCAAGAGTTCCTTCCCTCCTCCCCCCTCCCTCAGTAATCCTTCCCTCTCCTCCTCAAATTTCCTTCCCTCTCCCCCCCCCTCCACTCCAAGTTTCCTTCCTCCTCCCCCTCAGAGTTTCCTCCTCCCTCCAGGTTCATTTCCCTCTCCCCCCCTCAAATTTCCTTCCTCTCCCCCTCCCTCAAATTTCATTCCTGTCCCCCCTCCCCCTCAAATTTCATTCCTCTCCCTCAAATTTCATTCCTCTCCCCTCCTCAAATTTCCTTCCTCTCCTCCTCCCTCAAATTTCCTTCCTCTCCTCCCCTCCCTCAAATTTCATTCCTCTCCCCTCCCTCAAATTT